TCCGACGTGGCTTTCACTTTGGCTTTCGAAGCCGCCATCTGAGGCCGCCTGGCCGGAGCAGACCCATCGAGCACCTCGGCAATCGTTCCAAGGCCAGACTTTGCCATGCTTCTCGTACGTCTCTGCGGTGCCGGTTCTTCTGTTGCACCGTCATCTCTGTTGGGTGCACAAGACTGAGCTGCCCGCCCGTTTCGGGCGTGGCCGCTTTTTGAAACGGCGAGCTCAGGTTCCCGACAAGGACAGAGCCTGCAGGGTTCTGCCTACCACTCGAAAGCCATCCCACCCCGTTGTGAGACCACATTTGGTGGGCTATAGGAGCATTCACGGTGGATCGTATGCCTGAGTCGTTCCTGCGCCTGCAATACATAATGACTCCTTGGTGGACGAAGTGATTAAAGGCCTTGTCCCCCTGTATATAGACATATCACGCGCATTGTTGTTGTCGTCGACGAAGAGAGACACGAGAAGATCGTAGAGTGCACCGCGATCGAGCTCTCCGCGTGTTCCCGCAGCGGTTATAGCTGCGCTGGTGGCGGGGGTTTGGGGGGAGGAAGACGTGGCGTCTCTCGGTCTTAACTTTGCCCCGCGAGGCCACTCGAAAAAAAACTGAGGTCTGGTCAATGCGATTTGTGGAGGAAATGAAGGAGAATGAGAATTTGTATCCCACATATCAGGCAAGCACATGTCTCGTTTATTGTGTAACCCGACATGCTTACGCTTCATGTTGGCAGATGCGGTGTGGCGGCTCCACTGACGGGTTGGAGGGAACCTTCAAGTTCCCGTGTCAGCCTCACGACCGGACTCTGGCCCTTCTAATCGGCAAATACCATGTCTGAAGCTATTCACCCACCGGGCGAAGTGGCAAAGGCTACTTCGCGTACGTTGTGGGCAAGCAGCGCCTTGTCTTCCTCAAGCTGTCATGGAGACCAGACTCGACCGACATCGATCCCGAACACAAGAGCTACGAGTGGCTTCATGCATAGGACATGCAGAATATTCCTAGCATCATTGTCGGAGAGGACGTTTGCCACGTCCCAGATAGCAGAGGTCGGTTGGTCCCTTCGCACGCTAACCCAAGAATTCCTAGCGAGTGAATCAAAGCCGTTACCACGCCTTGCCTACCGTCTCGTCATTGAGACTCTGGGGATACCTCTTTCGGAATATAAAGACTCTTATGAGCTGGCGCAAGTTGTATTGGACGTTGTGGAAGGCAAGCAGGCCGGCCTTTTAACAATATGCCTCGTGCTGATCAGAAATTAACAGCTCACGAACAAGCCTGGGAGCGCGCAGAGATCCTTCATCGTGATATTAGCATCGGCAATATCATTATCGACATCGACTCGTTGGCCACCAAGCGTCCCAAGGGACTCTTATGCGACTGGGATTTGAGCAAGAGCAAGGATAGGATCGGCCGCACCACTCAGACTGTGCGATCGGTACGCTCCTCATTCCTCGTCAGATGCTGCAGCCTCGTCCCTTATGTAACGTTTGGATAAAGGGAACGTGGGCATTTATGTCCGGTCCGTCACTTGCTTATCCACTGAAGCCTCCGGAGGTGTCCGACGACCTAGAGTCAATCGTCAATCTCATGTATTGGAACGCCTTACGGTTTCACAAGCGCGACTTATCGGACTCGAAGTATTGGAACGCCGACGCGAAGGAAGTCGGATACAACGACCGGCTAGCGAGATTTGTGTGGAAATTCTTCCTTGATGACGAAAAGTATCAGTCTACCCAAGGTGCGCTCTGGATTGGCGGGGAGACCAAGTTCTACCGATACTCGAAGCCCAAGCTGCCTTTCAGGCTGGCAAAGAAAGACATGTTCAAGCTTCTTCTTGAAGATTTGCACCAGCTCTGCTACAAACATTATCGGTCCCTCGACGAGGATGAGTTGGAGAAATACCTTCCACCCGCGCAGACAGAGGAGCCAAGCCCTGAAGCGAGTCCAAGCCCTGAAGCGGGTCCACTTATGGAGAGACAGCTGATCAGGGTCACACGGAGCCCACCCCCCTCGGAACTCGTCTCCGATCCCCTTGCCAACCATGCACAGCTGAAGGTCGTTCTCTCTTCGTTCGTCGAGAACCGTCAGGGCTGGTCGGCCAACGACAAGACTCCCGACCAGTTTGAAAACCTTCCCGACATGATCGTGGTTCCTGACAAGCAAGAATCGTTCATGTTTGGCAAGAGGAAGACCCGGGAAGACGACGACACCCAGGAACAGCCCAACAAGATACGCCGTACACAGTGGAGCCGCTCCTAGTTCCATGGAAACGATGTACATGGTCTTCGCTTACTTCTTCATGACCCAATCCATACTCCTTTGCATCCTGTTTATTCTCTTTTCCTGACGCAGTGTTGCGACAACCGTCGTTTATACGTTTCGGCGCTCGTATGGTCATTTTAATGTCGCGTAACGTAAAAACTTGTAACGGTTATATTCATATGAGCTCAAGACGAACCAACGTACATGTCTCCTCGAGTACCATGCATTGCACGCATATCGCACTACACAGGAGTATCGACATCTATATACGACATACTATATGGAAGCGAGCGTAATGTATCTCCGGATGCGAGAGAAGCCTTAAGCGAGCAACAGGGGTGTACTCGGACGACAATGGAAACTACGAAGGAAGGAGAGGGATGTACAGTTACGAAATGAACGCGTGGATGCGAAGAACAAGGACGCCTGCAATATAGCATGGAGTGGATGCCCGTGGACGAGCCCGCGATCGACAGGATGGTAAGTATAAGATAAGAATAGACAATAAGCCCGGGAGAGAATATGGGAACGGGGTGTTTCATGCTTTGGAAGCAGGAATATGCAGGTTAATAGCTGTAAAGGGAGTGTCAGATACTGGGCACTACGTCTTCAGGGATGCATACCTCTGAACCACGTTAAAGCATCGGAGGTTGATGGCGCGTCGAAATACAAGATCGCTTTATTATCGACCAAGCGTAATGCTACAGAGATTTTGAGTGGCGAAGCGGAATGAGCGTGAAGCAAACTGCTTACCGTTCCCGTGGACAATACTCGCTGGCTGGGGAAGAGTTTGCATACGAAGGACTGCCCACAAGTCGACCTGCGAGTTGGGGTCCTGGCCTTCAGACGGGTCGCGACACAACACCAGCAAGTCGTTGCACAAGATGCCGATCAAAGACCGAGGTGTGAGCTCTGGTGACAAGCACTCGACTTGCACCGTGGATGCATCTCCCTTGGAGTCAATAACCTCGAAAGACACAGTAGCTTTCCTGACCACACGTGTCAGTTGCAAAGGGCCGTCCATAATTAGTCGTCTATGATCGCGGGCCGTTAGATATCGCCGATAAGATGCGCAAAGCCGACCCTCACCTGTGAGGCTGCACCAGAGGGCTCGGGAACTTGCCACGAATCTTTGCCTGCCACTGCACCAGCTTACGCCGGGACTCGGATTCGCGTTTGCCCTCGTTCATATTAGTCGCCAGGGATGATATCTCACTGAGGGCGCGATCGAGTGGGTCCTCGACATAATCATATATCGGAGGGCAACTTTTCAACAAATCCTCGAGCTGTGCGCAATTAAGATATTGACGTGACACTACATTATGCGAAAGGACTCACTAGAAGCCTGTACCGAGGGATGCGCTGAACTGGGAGTAGGAGATAACCTTCAAGATTCAGCTGAGAGTGACGAGGATTCATGCGGCAACGTTTGAGATACGCTTTAATGCGTTTCTTCTGACTGGACGACAGGGGAACAATGTTGTTAGGACCAGAGTCAGGTAAGGCACCTGGCGTAGTCACAGCCGACATCGTAATGCCAAGGCCGACCAGTTGTGCGGTGCTCGAAGATGGCGAAAGAGGGTTGGCTAGGGCGTTCGGCTTCTCAGAAACCCACGTTTTGATGCGATGCAGAGAATTATCGAAATTGCTGGGAGATATACGCTGAGAATAGACAACGAATACAAGCTGATGAACTTACTTGATATACGTGGAGTACATCCTCATAAAAGCCGCGTGCGAGACGAAAATATTAGCAACGGAGCGGGCAACTTCCAACGACAACGAGCCGTCCGCGTCGACCTCGGTAAGTCTCGGTCAGTCTCGACGTCGGTGTCGGATGCTCTCAGAATTTCTACAACTCCCCAAATCGACGTGCGGATATCTACGACAGGGGCCTTGTTGGAAGCGAGCGAAGGTAGGCTGTCACGACAGCCGAGCATCGAAGCCCTCAAGTCGCCGCCTATACCAACCATTCAGGAGGTTTCACCTGTCGACTCCTCTTTCAATGCGCCCATCTCACCACCACCTGCGTCGCCCAACATGCTGGGCATTCCTCAGTCCACTACCCGCGCCTCCAAGCGCCGAAGCTTCTTACCCATCGAAATGTCACCGATTCCCAGCCCTGCAGCGTCCAGTTTTGGCACCGAATCTTCCTGTGACGAGAACGACGACGACGCCAAGCTTGCTATAAGCCCTATCCAAACTGTCTCGCTGGAGTCGGGTCAACGCCGCGAAGAGGAGAAGGCACGAGAAGCACGTACACGTGCTCTGCGTTCCGTTATGGCGTATCTACGTGACATGCACGACCTAGGGCTGACCCAGTTCAACACCATGAGCATGTATGGAGGTTCGCTGGAAGCTCCTGGGATGAGATCACGAAGGCCCACGGTTGTCGACAACAGCCGGCTTCCCTCCGAAACCTCGATCGCGTCTATATCATCCATCGGAGGCGCATCGCAACTTCGCTCTCCTGAGTCGAGGAACGCGCTCAGATGCGGTAACTCAGCGCAGACGAACAGTGTGGCCACGACCGATAGCAGCGGTTCTGGGGGTGGGGAAGAGCGCAAATTTAAAGACGACAAGGGGAAGCGTGCGAGGATTGTGAGGGAGATTGTAGAGTATGTCCAGCGCTTGCTTTTCTCTGTATACTGCTGATGTTCCCAACAGGACCGAGAGGACGTACGTCAAGGGCCTGCAGGAGCTCGTCGACATCTACGTTAAGCCAGCTGCTATGCCAGTTACTTCGCTGAGCGGCGTTGGCCAGAACACTGTTCCTGCTGCGGAGCGCAAGATTGTATTTGGCGGCCTGGAAGCACTGTTCTCCTTCCACAGAGAGAGTTTTCTGCCTGCCTTGGAAAAGGCCACTGCGCCAATCATGAAATCGTCCGCAGAACATAGCAGATGGTCTTGACGTTGATGGCTGCCGAGGACGGACGTTCGCTGAAGAGGATCGGGGCACCGGAGGCGTCTCGCTCCGCATTTTGCCCATGGACATCTTCTTCAAGAAGCCCCATCGAGTCGACTTCGTCTCCTCCTTCCCCCGAGCGGCTGATTCGTCGTTGTAACGGCTGTCTCGCTTGGAGAGATGCGAGCCCATGGTAGGTTGCGCACCAGGCGCGACGTCTACGGGCAAGGGGGGCAGAACCTTGGCGCCTGGTTCGCCCTTCTCTGCGGGCTCGCCATCCCAGACCGTAGGATCTATGGCAGGTCTCTTGCGCGTACCTTCAGGCGACAATGCAGAAGACACGCCTAGACTGGCAAACCGCTTCGGCTGCTCTTGACCATCATGCGAAGACATCGTGGTCAGAAGATTAGAACTCGAGGCGGACGGAGTGTAATGCAACACTGCCGGACGCTGAGGAGACGTTGATCCTGAGGCCGGAAGTCCCTTAGACGAACCCCCGGGACCATGACGCAACTCCCCTGCGCTTTTCATCTTTCGTAACTCGCGTTCCCCATTCTCCTTGCTAGAGGACCCGGGCGCGCCAGTCTGTGGACCAACTACGGACTTGCTCGGAGCACGATACTTATCAAAGTACGCTCTGTTGGGGGTCGTACGAGTGCGGGACAAGGACAGAGAGACCTGTGCGTTCTGAGATCCAATTGTGGGGGACGTTACAGACCTGGCGATGAGAGGCGCGCGAGTTGGCATGATGGTGTCTTCCTCTTCGTTGACAGCCTGCATGAGGTTCTTCTCTTGTTGAGAGGACTCAGCTGCATCATCAGCATCCTCCGATGCTGAGCTTTGTATGGTAGCGATGCTGGGGGATACAGGGAAAATCGGAGTCGACGGAGGATAAAGCGGAGACATAGGAACTTTGGCCAACAATGGCTCGACCAGAGCCTTCCAAGGACCCTGAAACGGGTTACCTTCGACGAGCAAAGTTTCGAGCACCGGCAAGAGACATAGCCAGCTGGGCAGCGAGTTCATCTTGTTGCGGCGGATGCTGAGGGTATGCAGCTTCTCTAAAGAACTCAAGGCTGCAGGCAGGGTGCTAATCCCAGTCGAATCGGCTATGAGGACCTGGAGAGACGTGAGCCCAGCCAGGAAGACTGGAAGCGCACGGAGAGGATTGGATGCGATATTCAGTTCCTCCAGGCATACACACGCCTGGAGGACTGGCGGAAGGGCGACCAGGAAGTTAGCCGAGATATCCAATGCAAGTAGCGTGGTCGAGATTGGAGGAATGACATTTGCCAGGAACGCAGGGACAGCGTTCGGCGTGCTTGACGATCCTATCAACAGGTGCGTTGTGCCTGCGAAAGTGATGACAATGAGCGATGTCTTTCTCCTATGAACGGAAGCGATCGAATTACCTAGTTTTACCTGTAGCTGCACTATTGGGCCCTCCCCTCCTCGTACAATGATACCTCGGCCTTCCTCTGCGACCATCATGGCGCTGGTGACCTCTCCCTCCATGTCCTCTGGCGTATCCTCCTCATCGATCATGCCGTCGTCGTCGGTTTCATCGTCCGTTGTCAGTCCCATTTCATCCCTCTCGTCCACCGATACCCATCCCTGGTCGAAGCTAGGTTCTTGCCGTAGTGCCGGACTCCCCAGCTCGGAAGCGACCTCGCCCCTGCCGCCTACAGAAGATGACCTGGAGCGTACACCCTGTGAGTACCTGTCTGACCAGCGACTCTCCTCTGCGTAAGGAGTGCGTATCCGCTGCGACGAGGAAGATGTCGACTCGCGCGCGAGGATCTTGGCGACGTCGTCCGTCGAGATTCCCATACTCGTATTAGAATCATCAAGCCCTAGCGCCACATGGACATGACCATAGTCGCCAGACCGGGCTGAGCTTGTATATGCTGATGACCGCGTGGACCCAGATGAGGAGTCCGCAGAGGATAGGGTAGGCGTAGAGATGCCGTGGTTCCAGCGCGGGGGTCGAAATGGATAAGGATCAGGATATTGTGAAGGGTCTGGAAGGGACGGTGGCTTCGGAGACATGGTTGAAAACTGGGCATTGCTGGGCTCTGAAATGAATGAATCATCTTCAGAGGCTTCTCGCGAAGGCAGATGTGAGGCAGGCGGGGCGGCAGTCAGAGACCGCAACGCGGAGGGAGACTCGACGATGTACGCACTCGAGGGCAAGATTGGTGCTTCATGGGATTCATCAGAGAAGTGCCAGTCGTGTGCGGCAAGCAAGTTAGCCGGGATGGGGAGCTCAGGTCGAGAGGGCATGGCGTTGAGCTGAAGCACGAGGAGGAGAGTGGTGGGACGAAGGAATACTCCGAGCCTAAATTATGTTGGATGCGATGTCAATGCCAGCATAAACGACAGACAGAAAAGATGAGCAAGGCAAGGAGAGGCGGCGGAGACAGCGAAGGGAATGAAAGCAGCGAGGACAAGTCACGGTGCAAGGCACAGAGCGGGCAGGCGCACGACACCCGGAATTTCATCAGCCGCGGTAATTTAGGTGCGGAAACCCTCACGAAAGCTAACTTCCACAAGTCCTCCTAATTTTTCTCACTCCCGCTCGCTATGTTGGAGATTTCTCTCTCTCTCCGTGGGTGCTATCTCTTCGGTCAAAAAGTCACGCAGATATCACCCCTGCCAACGCCAACGCCCGCCTGTCTGCTGCACAGGTATCCTGATGGCGGGCTTGTGGTGGATGTAACATGATCAGTAAAACATTCATTTCTCTCCTGATTGCTACCATGTTGCCACATGTACGGCTGCTTTTATAAACGGGGAGCGAAGCTGCGCACTGTCAGCATTGTCTCGGCTTGCCCAGTCTGCCTCGCCAATGCTCCCTTGATTATCCAGGGTGATGACTGGAACCAGGCGGGATCGTCGCTGGCAACCTAGGTTCAACTCACATATACGCTGTCTGGCCTACGGTCCTTTACGATCTTGCTTCGTAGTACGCCTGTGAGCACAGATCAGACCGAGACGGGCCACAGAGCTAAAGCTGAATTCCCTACCTCAAAGAAATTGCGCCTCTGTGTAAGGGGGACACCCCTACAACTGGTCAGATCCAATCGTTGCAGCATAGTGCAACCATCGAGGATGTCATAGAGACCTTCGCCTATGTTTCAAGTATTCATGATGCAATTTCCAGTGAGCACGCCTCCTTTCTTACTGGTAATCTTTGCTCCTCCAACTTCCAAAGTTTCCAGCGACCTGCACGTAGAGATGTATGGGGCGGCGGAATCATCGACATCAGTGTTGTTCAATTTGAAGACTCGCAGGGGTGATTCCGGTAGATTGAGATCATCGGCCAAGAGCCCTTCAAGATTGGATGAACGGAGGGATGTCACTCCTGACAAGTTGAGAACCTAAGCCTCCGTCAGTAATCTCATTTAGCATTCCTGTGGAAAACGACATCGCTACACACCTCGCAGTTCCTGCCCACGTGACGTACGAAGTCAGTCAACGACGAGCCAGTGACAGTGCCGAGTTTCGTATTACCGGCTAGGTTGACGCTTTTCAGGTGTTTGCACCCCGCGAGGATGCCACTCAGCTTCTTGAGCGTGTCATCAGTCATTGTCATGGCAGAAGTATTTGCAACGGCGATTGATGATCCACCTGTTCGCCCAAGTGCGCCGAGCGAGAGCGTCCTCAGTTCAGTCATACCGTCAACGGCCTTAAGTAAATCGGCGCTAGCAATAGCAGTTGACGTCAAGGACAACTTCTCGAGTGTAGTAGACTTTAATAGAGTAGCTGGACGTCGGATCCCAGTGAATGATACATCCAAGCGGCGTAGCTGGGGACATATCTCGAGAAACGTGTTAAATACTTGATCCGTTATGGGGTTCAGCTTCAGCTTGAGAGAGCGAAGACCGAGAGGTTCGAAGTTAGAAGCACTTTTAACACCGAGGGCATTCCACAGTTTGGCGACACCGGCCTCTGTCTACCAAACATATCAGCAGCCAGACCTACACACGCATCACAGACAGTTCGGGAGACTGACCCAGCTGGAAATGCCCGCAACCTTCATGGTCTTGAGGGACTTACATGCCTGCAGGACTGGAGCAACATGTGCAGGCTGCACAGACGTGTAGTTAACGTTAAGTGTCAACAAGGCAGGACAAGATATGCCGGCCGCTTCGACGGTCTTCGCACCGACCTTAGTGCATCCCCTGAAAGCACATCAAGTATGAGTGTCCACCTTCTCGGCCTAGGTCCTAGCATACCCAAGGTCCAATATACGGAGGGCAGGAAGCCTCTCAACTACTATGGCAAAGGTCGCGTCCTGTATCTTACCAAGATCTCGGAGGTGAAGTTCCTGAAGGTGCTCTCTGACCGCCGTACGCCTCGTGATAGCGGCCACTGTGTTCTTGCTCACGTCTGGCATATTCTCGCCATCGAGAGTTATAGACGGTCCGCGTAAAAGGTACTGTATAATGTTCTACCCTGTGAGGTCAGAAGGAAGGGACAAATGTGCTGTACTTACCGCTGCAATGAAATCATTGCTCGGATAGACTCCATGATCTTTCAAAATTGTGAAGATTCGCGAAATATAAGTGTCTGGGACTGCTGAAAGCCACGCTTTGAGTTCCTCTGTGGAGGCTTCGTCCGACGAGAGTCTCCGGAAGCCCTGTGCGAAAGCGCGCATGCAGAACGTTGTTAGTGGAGGTATTCCGGTCGCAGAAACTGGCAGAGCGCGTATAGACCATGAGGTAGACGAGGGCGGGGTTGTTTGGTTATGTGCTGTGGGTATGTTCTCATCCTCGTTTTTGGGATCCCCTCCAAACCTCTGGCTCCGGCTCCGGTTCCCAGCGGATCCACTTGACTTGAACTGCCTCGAACGTGAGGAAGACATCTAGCAAAGTATCATGATCAGCGATCACAGTGTGAGGAGAGTAGAGATCATACAAAAGCTACTTAATGAGGCTTGAAGCTGAAGCTGAAGCTAGCTTGGGCTGTGAGCCTAGCGATATTCGTGGAGGAGTTCCGAACGCCGATGCGATTCACATAGTACAGTACTTAGCTCTATTTGGCCACCGCGTCACTCGCGCTCAGCCACGCTTTGGAGTCATCCACACCCATATAGAATATCTTCCCGATGCCCAGTAACATTACGACAAACTAAGAAACAGAGTCACAGAGAAAAATGCCTGCGAGAACGAATGGTAGAAGTCCGACCGTCATCAAATTGAGTATTTTGTGCATATATAATGGTAGACCCTGGACGTCCCACCTTAAAGGAATGCTAGACGGAGGGATTACTCTAAGTCTTCTGGTTATGCTAACATACGGCGCCGTATACGCTAGAACAATCGAAATGAAGGCCCGCCTAGCTCCTAAGCCAAGTGATCTCGGGTACCTGTCCCATGGACTTGTAGTATCTGGGGAAGAGACGGATGGGTAGACAAGGATGAGCATTCCTGCCGAAAATATGAGTAGAAATAGTAGAATGAGAAGCAACAGCAGAAATGCACTCCGCGCTTCCAAAGGAGATGCAAGCGTGGCGATAAAGACCGTTGAGTCCGCAAGCGAGAGTGACAGCAAGACTAAGGTGAGGAGCAGGGCTGGGAGGAATAACGCCAGTACGGGTAAGTATATGTTGGAGACCCCGTTCCAAATAAGCAGAGACAGTGGCAATACTTGCTGGAACGGAAGAAGGTAAAACGGGCTCGGCGGATAAGGGAGATGAAGCTGCAGGATGTGGAGAGACAGTGCCACGAGGAGAGCATTGTAGCCCATGTCGTTAGGATGAGGCGTGAAAGGCAAGCTGGACAGGAATGCGAGGGCTACAATGAAGTAAGGGACTTGCATCAACGACCGCCGTTGCAAGACTCTGGCAAGGCAGTAAACCACAATGGACACGGTGCATACAACGTCGAGGCCAGAAATAGTTTCTGCTGCAGCGCAAGAGGGATCTAAGGCATAGCGAGCTAGTATGCCCAGGTATGCAATAAGGCCTAGCAAGTCGAGCAAGTGCAACCATCTGAGCAGAATGTAGCTGAGAATGGGTGGAGACAGCTTTATCTGCCAATGCTTACCGAGGCGCATATATTGACCTTGCCAGTTGACCCCACGTACTAATAGCCGGGAGGCTTCCCCTGATATTGCACCGCCAGGTGTGCAGCAGACTAAGTTCGACAACGCGATGACATAGCATTTCGGGAGGGAAACACTCATAGAAGTCGACGACTATCACAGAAAGTCAGCCAGCGTACAACATGGCGAGTCCAAGTCACGGCAACGTACGTCGAATCGACTCTGCAGAACCATCCGACAGTTGATGAGCCTTCCACAAAACTTGTTCCACCTCTTTGCAACTCCGTGGGACATTCAGAAAGGTGTTCCAAGTCGCGACTATTCGCGACTCGAGCTCAGCCATGCTCGCAGCACGCTTAGTTTCTTCAGACCACTGTTCCCAAACATCTTCGAGGGAATGGCGCAGGTCTCTCAGCATGTGCTTGTAGGCCAGCAGCACCAGAAGCTCAAAGGCAGCGCAGTCTGCCCCTGCCGATATCGATAGGCCCTCCGGATACCAGCTGCCGTTCAAAGGTAGTCCTTGGGTATAAAATCGATCGACATAGGGGAGTATACGAAGTGAGTCAATGCGGTTTGACAACGAACTCTGGCGGTTTCGAGTGCGTGAACTCAAGAGAGGGGTGGTCTCCGTCTGTTCCGCTGCCGACGCGTTCATGGTCGGGGACAGGCAGCGCAGACGCCGGTCGCTTGACGTCGCACACTCACCTACATTCTACTAGATCCTATCACGCATATCGGCCCCTCCTCAACCGACAGATTATATTCACGTCCAGACTCTGATAGTTTAGCTTCAGAAATCTGAGTACTTTCTACGCCGAGGAGAAATGAGCGCGTCCGCCGCGACACCGCTTCTTAACCAGATTGAACCTGACGATGCCGGAGAGTCTGTGCCGTCAGGGAATATCGCGTCTGCAAAGCTTGCACCTCCCAAGACACCCGTGGTATTGACTCCAGGTTCAAGACCAGATCCATCCGCGGCGTCGTCTAGTGATGCGGAAGCAGGTAAGTGACCGTGATTTCTGAGCGTAGCATGGTCATCTTATGTAGGTACTTGCTGCAGGCATTGCAGGCATATTTCGCCAGGTGAGCGCAGCGTCCCCACATAGTGCCTAAAGTGCTGAGAACACCTCCTCTAGTCCGCTCACCCAGTATCACTTTTCTTCCTCTACTTCTTCCGCACCGCTGCAATCGTGGTCTACCTCCTCTGTGGATTCTTCACCAGCAACTATGTGCTCTCCGTCAGTTGGCGCATTTACGCTTACTGTCTTCAGCCTGACGCGCATTTAGACCGTGATCGTGGTCGTGTTACTCGCAATGGACTTCTGGAATTGTCGAGTCAGTGCTAGTCGAGCACGACGTCATTCATAGCTGACGCCTCTTAGAACGTCTCCGGAAGGACGTTGGTCGGTTTGCGATATTGGAACCAGGTATCTTGCTTGCTCGTTAATTTCTCGCATAATGCGCTCAACAGTATTAGGTGGACGAAGACGGTGAAAGTTACTGGGTATTCGAGAGCCGAGATGTGAGTCCCATCTGGTGTCCCGCCCATTGCAAAACTAACTGTTAATAATATGTAGCCATCTCGCCCAGCCAATCCCGTGGATTCGAAGTGCGTTCAACTGTTCCTCTCTTGCAGCTGCATCAGTTGAATTGACCATATACGTCGCTATTAGGATGTTTTGGGTGAGGTCTGGCACACCCGCTTACCTCGCCTGTATCTGATCATGCTGCACCGCAGATCGCACTGTACACGTTCCCAGCCCTGTGGCTAGCATTGCTTATCGTTTCGATACTGAAACTTAGTGCATCGTACGTACCACGCTATATGATTAGTGGACAATTACCTCACGCTCAGGCGGGACTCTTTCAGCTTTATCCCGATAGTAATGCTAGCCCTCGTATTCAATGTCTCGAATGCCGTAGGCTTCACGTATGCGTAGGTTCTCGTCCTTTGGTCAGCCCAAAAATTTGGATATACTGACCGCGGCTTTTGACAGTGACCGAGATGCAAAGCAGAAATGGGCGAACCAACTCTCTTCGGGATGGAGCATTGGTGGTCTGGGTGGTCAGGTTCTTGCTGGCATGGTCAAAAACAGCGTAGGGAAGGTTTTCAGATAACCATGGGGGTTTGAGATACTGCCCCACTCTAATACCAGCACCTCATTTATGCTCTCTGATCGCACATGAGGGGCAATTATTTGAGACATGCTTTATCTGAGCACATAACCGGTCTACAGCATGGCGTGAAATAAAGAACATAGACACGAAATCGAACAGACAGCGCAGGGATAATATACAGCGAAACACATTGCTAAAACAACTCAAGTCCGTTGAAGAATGCATATGTTGAAAATGCAAGCAGTGAGAATGCGAAGTGTCTGTTTGAGGTGCTTTGTTATACATAAAGTCGGTGCCGACGATATATAGAAAAAATAGAGACCTTCGAAAAGAAGAGTGTCAAGTATACGAGGTCAACACGATACTGGCGTGTACCATGTTTCGCAAGAGAGATGTATGCACGACGTCTCGGGAGAACGGATTAACTTAGCTCAGACCAACCCACCCGCGCGCGTCAACGCGGGAGCAGGCAGTCGTCGGCGTGGCGAGAGAACCGACACCGATGAAAGATCGACGGTTGCCTTCGGCCTTGAAGTCTGCGACACGAGGTGTAGGTACGGGAGACTTGCATAGCGACGAGCTCGGCATGAGCATCATCGTGGAAGGCGTCTGCGCGGACCGACTCGGCGAGGGCGGGAATACGAACAGGGTCTGAGCGGGTGTCGCAGATGAGGGCATGTGTGAACGAGATTTCCGGATAGCAGTCTTGTTAGCATTGTGCGATGCGGAATACGGCTCCGACTTGCGGGTCTCTGGGCGAGGGCGCGAGGTGAGACGCGCGTCAGGTAAGGGTGTTGTTGGCGAGGGCGGTACGGGCGAAAGCAGTCCAAACAGAGGCGGGGGACGCTTCCTAGGCTTAGCTTTTCCGTGAGGTTTCGGTAGCTGGAAAGATGTGCCGGTTGCGGTGGCTGGTACGGAGGGAAGATTGAAAGATGTTTTGTGCGCGGGAGCTGAGGGGGGCACATGAGTTGAGACTCGGGGGTAAGCTTTGGGGGTACCTGACAGTACGTCGGTAGCATCAGGGGAATCAGCCTCCCCGAATGTATGGGTAGACGAGGCCTCATCCTCTGTGGGCTCAGCACTTGAGCAACTGGTTTCAATAAAGCCACCTCCAGTTCCAAGCAACTCTCGCTCTTCGTCCTCCTCGACGAGCTGTTCGCTAAGGACGCTGCCCGTGGTGGCGACACTTGTAATGGAGGCCGCCCGAGTACGACCACTGCCGTATTTGCTCCTCCAGGCATGACCCATGCCGATACCAGCGGAGGAGCCTGTCGAGGAAGCCGAAGATTTGCGGGAGATTCTGCGATGCTCCATCGCTTGATCAAGAGCTCGCGCCTCACGCATGACCTCCATATTTTCGCGGTCGGCACCCTCGGTATCAGTGTCGTCAGCCATCTGGCGACGCCGCGCCCATTCTTGCTCCGCCTCAAGAGAGGACTGCTCCGATGGGGCGGGTGAGCCAGTGGTAGACTTCAAAGTTCGCTCATAGTCAAGCAACTGGTAGATCAGACTGGGCGAAGGAAGTCAGATGAAACATACCCCGGGTAATCGGAAGAGATTTACTTACGACATATTGGGTCCGACCCATTTGCTCTTCTCCTTCACAAAAGAATAGGCATCATGCATAGTCTTCAGTGACCACACCTCTGGAGGTACCATCGGGGAACATTGTGCCGCCGCTCGCATCACCAAAGCGATTATCAGCGTTGCCGATCGTGAAACACCGCACTGACAACTAAGACAAACTGCGATTCAGACGGCGTCACAGCGCGGATCTCCGGAAACACATACTGGATTAGAACGCCATCTCCTCGTTTCAGGGCCTGGTCGACGAAAACCATTGCGGAAGGAAAACCTTCAGTCACAAGGTCTGACTGTCCGTGAGACCAGGGCAGCTGCAGGTAGTGCATGCCTGGGCGGCCACTTGGGACATGAGGAGGGTGATAAACAGGCCCGGACTGGAGGGACGAATGCTTGAGGTCAGAGTGCGATGTTACAGAGCGCAGCGTATGCGATGGGATGCCTTCGATGGGGCAGGTGACTTCCTTTGCGACATTGAGTATCGACTTGATTCCTCTAGCCATGAGACCCCTCCAATCCCGGGCATTGTCCTCGTTCCCAAGCCAAACGCCGGGGAGAATGTGTATTGGTCCGTCCAAATAGGGGACAGAGCCTGGGTCATCGCCTTCAACATCCTCGTCCTTGCGATGGAGGAGCGTCGATGTACTGGCGTTCGGTAGGGAGATGACCGACGGTCTGCGGCGATGTGGGAGGGGACCGTCGGCTATGCGTTTGGAGGGTTCGGAGACGAGTGGGCTCTGGAGCGAGGCAGTTGAAGACTGTGCGGAGGGTAGTGTGAGCGAGAGCTTCTTCATGTTTCTGGAACGGGGTCTGCTAGGAGGAGGCCAGCAGAAGGAGTCTGCGTCTGAGGTCGCTGAGGAGAGTGCAGAAGCGCAGGTCGAAGTCTCTGGGGACACGAGGGTAACGTTGGGTACATGAGAAGGCGTGTCGATCCGGAGCGGCGTGGCAGGGCCCTTTCTCCTCGAGGAGAAAGACGAGAGAAATGCGGACTGCGGGCGAGGAGTTGCTGTATCCATCTTTTAGGGTTCGAGGAGGACACGCCGGCGTGTACGATATCGAACAGGTGGTGCAAACGGGCGAAAAAATGAAGGAGAGACAGGGAAAAGAGAGGGCGAAATAATAAAGCCCCGAATAACGAAGAACGGGCAGGACAAGCCAGGGAGAACGGGCACCGCAGTCGTGGTCGGTCGTGACGAGAAACAAACTGGATTCCTGGGCGGTTCGTCGGACGTCTTCCCTGGACCAACTTTGTCCCTGTTTGGGCAACCGCACCCGACCCGGCTTCATATGCACTCAGACGCACTCTCCCCAGCACTGACTCAGCCTCGGGCAGCATGCTCTCCAGGCGTGGTTAAACACGATGTTGTCCTACTCGATTCCCACTTATCCGCTCAGCTCAGCCAGGCGGGACCCTTCTCCAGCAGCCCGTCGCCTTCCGACTTCGTCTAGACGCTACGGAGACGGGCCCGCGCAAAATCCATCCCTGGTACCCGCTCCCTTGGGCCATCCATCGTGAACAATGCACAAGTTTCAATATATGGTCATAAGTGCCAGCCCTTCGATCGCGGGTCGGCTCATACATCGCTACCTCGCCACTACGCAGACAATTAATGCAGCCACGCCCCTTCCAGCCAGCTGCACTTCGATCCACCGGTACAACGCACCCACCGCGTCTTGCGAGATCGCTATTGTCAATGTAAGCGGCGCTCAACCACCCTTTCCAGCGCCCCATATCATGCCATCGGCCGCGCTGCTTATGGAGGTGCCGACGCCCGCTATCGCCGTGCCTTGTATGCTTGACAACAGCCCAATGGTGCCATGTGCTTCTGAGGCACCTGCTAATTATCGTGTCAGCAGACATGCATAAAGTGGAACCGGATGCTCTCGCCCCGGTGTCTAGCTTCGTATATTGGAACGCTCGTAGCCCGTCGTGCATTTCGATGACTAGTGAGTACTAGTGAGTCTTTTGCAATCAAACCCGATTTTATCGCACCAGCGTACAGGCCTGGAAACGTTTTGTCAACCTATTTCGAGCCCGCTGGCGGTATTTTACCTCGTGACCCGGAACAGCGAGAGCGCGCCGCAGGCAAATCTCTGAGGGAGCGGAAACAAGGCGACCGAAGCACTCGTATAATGCTGCCTATACTTTTGGATGACCGCGGAGAGATACCGACTGACTGTGGCCCAGCCGACAACACCACAGCCACTATATGCGCTGTCGTCTAATGCTCGCGCTCATGATGATTCCTTTGGACCTGATAAATGGATCTTCATGGGTGACCAAGCCGGCGAATTGAATGATCGCAACTTCTAATTCATCTATTTACCAAAATCTCTTGGCCTAACCTTCACCAGGATCAGCAGATCTACGCATGTTCTGAACTGTCATACATCCAAGGGTAGGCCCGAGTAGTAGCCCTTACTATCGCTTCTCGACTACTGACAACGGTCTGTTTGGTCCAGATATTTTGGGCAGACCTTGCCGAGCGCAACACCGGGAAGGGATACCCAGTTCTTGTTTCCTCGTACGAAACCAAGGAGGTACGACGCATATAACACACCATTGGTTTAGCAGACGTGGTTGATTCCCATGTCAGTAACCATGGCGTCCGCTGGCCTCGCAAAACTGGCATTGGCAGCTACCTCGCCGAAGCAGGAGCCGAAAGAAATATCTGCCGCAGAGAGCTCCGAGGACGAGCCACCCATCGACAAGCCGCATCCTTCCTTTGACTCTCCCGACGCAGACATCGTCTTACGTTCAAGCGACAACGTTTCCTTTCACATTCACTCCCTCATCCTCACCTGCACCTCCGGATTCTTCCAGACTCTGCTGTCTCTGCCACAGAACCCACCATCCTACAAACGATCTTCGTCTCCTAATCCACCCGAATGTCTCGAAGTAATACATCTGATGGAGAGCGCCAAGGTGGTTGAGGGATTGCTCAGCATGTGCGCCGGCCGCGAGCTGCCTCAGCTCGAGGACTTTAGACATGTCGAGGAGCTCCTGCACGCGGCGGAGAAGTATGACATGCCCGGGGCGCTGTCTATCCTACGACTCGCCCTAACATCCACTTCGTTACTTGACACGAATCCGGTACGGGTATACGCTATCGCATGCCAGTGGGGCTGGAAGGAGGTGGCCAGGGAGGCGTCGGCGAGGACGCTGGGCCTTGACCTCCTCGGACAGCCCTTACTCAGGGACCTCTCCCTCATCGAGTCACCGCATCTTGTCGCTCTCCTTCTCCTTCACCGTCGACGGCGCGACATCCTTCGTTGCGGAATCAACTCACTCGTGGATTTCTACGCGAACAACCAACCCGGGCGTTGCTGCCATTGTCAGCGAGAGGTCGCTCACGCAGAGTGGATGTCTCTCAAGCACACGTGGCTGGGTGCCATCGAGCAGAGGCCCGCAGACATCGCATCGGGTGCCGTCCTCCAGGACTCACAGCTGCATAAGCTGTTCAGCGCGACGTGTCAACACTGCCAGAAGAAGCTCTATAACCCGGAAGGCACCATATTAAAGCTTAAGCAGCTTCTCGAGCGGCTTCCCAAGGCGGTCGAGGTAAGAAGCTCGTCACTGTGTAGTGGAGCCGGACTCACGCCATAGCGCACGCAGCTCTAGCTTTCCTGTTCATTGTCGATATTTATATAATTGCTGACCGCGTCGATTACCGATCTCCATTTTTACTACTGGGTCGTGCAAAGGCAATCAGTTATCCTGTACATTTGTACCGAGTCGATATAGTCCTAAACCTTTTTGAGTATAACCGAGGGGACTCGGGTCTGCTGTGCCGTGGGTCTGCCGCGATAGTCCTTCTGCGCGGTTATTCCAGGAAGCGTCAGGGTCAGATAGTGTACTCCCGCACAGTCGCCGTGAACACGGACACTGTACTGCATTTTTCTGTTCGTTATCGTCTTCATGTATCTAAACATCCGCGTTCGCCACAGCACGGTGCATGGTAGCATCGGTCTTCGATAGAGACAAGGCCGAGAAAGTAGGCAAGCGGTATACACGGCTAGCGGCTAGCGCCAGCTATACTCATCTCCTGTCATTCGTCGACGGGCTTCCTGGACCACGGTCCGACTCCTGGTAATTTGCCAGTGACTTAGACATCGAAGACGAGGTATTCGAGCGACAAATAGAGTATTACGCCATAGGTCTGTACGGATCATAGTGTCCGGACACTCCTGAGTTCGGGGTGCGGCCTCGGAGCCTGAGGCGGTCTTTTGTTTTTAGTGCGGCGACATACGACGCCGACTCGTGATCGTCGACGGTGCAAAACCCGCGGGGTCAGCTTGCAGCCCCTAGCAAGTGACATGCTGACTCGCGCGTCGAGGGCGGAATGACTGAGCAGATCACACCCATCGGGAGCTGGTACCCAAGTTTCAGATTCTTCATCTAGGTTCAGCGATTAGTGAGGACATGTTCTTCCACGTGCGACTCGAGGAAGGTCCTTGACGGCTTCGCGCGCGGCGATACGTCGTCCCAGACCTCCGTATAAAAGGGGCCCAGTACCTCGTCTCTCTCTCTCTCTATCCTACCATCAACCCCCTTTGCATTACATGCACCTCCCTAGCTTCTTCAACAAGTTCCGCTCTCACCTCCCCCACACCAAGGACGCCAAGGAAGCAAAAGCCACCACCGCACAACCTCCCGCAATGCCTTCCAAGGTTGGAGCTCACTCAGAAGCATGTTCCAACGCCCAGAGACTCACTACATCACGCCGCAGCCTGTCCTCTACACCTTCAAACTCTCCGTCTGGGGCGCCGTAACAGAACTGGCCATGTGAGCGCATTTCATAGTCTCTTAGCACAGCCCATTGCTAATGCCACCACAGCGAAGAGCTCGGCCTTGATGTCGAGGCGCGGTCCAACAACGTCGTCGGGGGCGAGAACTTCGACCCCGAGTTCCTGAAGCTCGTGAGTATGGAGTTACCCCCTTCCTCACCTCGCTGACTCGCTTTGCTGCAGAACCCCGCAGGGACGCTGCCGACCATCATCGCACCCGATGGCAAGTCCTTCGGCGACTCCACTGTCGCCATCCGCTACTTGATTGAGCTCTCCGGCAAGAAGGTTACCCCAGGCCACCCCGATATCATCGCTAGGGTCCATGAGGATGGGCTGGACCCGAACTTCTGCCTCCTCACCGCGGTAGGTTTACGTCGTACTTGTTATACACTCTTCGCTAAATTCTTCGTCTAGCGTAACGCGGAGGAGCTCAAGAGCGCATCTGAGGGTTTCGCATTCACCTTCGTTAACAACCGTAAGTCTACGAAGGACAACGTCACCTTTTCCTGTACTCAAGGCAGTCCATAGGCCAGAATTCTCTTGAGAAGTACTCCGCCAGCCCAGCGGGCACTCCGTACAAGGAGTGGTACGCCCAGAAGCTGGAGAAGAACGGTGGACTCCTGAAGATCTACAAGGGCGAAGCCCCGCCCGACGACTTCTACACCATCTCGATCAACCACTGGAAGAACGTCGCCAACTACGTTCTCAACGACCTCCCGCAGATTCTGCCCGAGTCTGGCTTCATCGGTGGCGCTGAGCCCGGTGAGGATGACTACCACGTTGCCGCGTGGCTCGCCCGTGTTACATGGATCACCGGCGGCCACAAGGAGACCGATGGGTACAAGGCTCTGGAGAAGGAGCTGCACGCCCCTGTCCCGGAGAAGGTCATCACCTACTGGAAGACGTGGTGCGTTCGTCCCAGCTGGCAGAAGGTCTACGCCGAGACCCTTCACTGAGCGGCCCTCTCTGTATTTTGTTACCTTACTTGTCACCACCTCTGTGGCGTTTCTCTGAATTTGGAGCTCGGATGGATGCGTATTAGTAGTGAATTACCATAGCTTATGATACACTAAATGGAGGATATACGAACGTTTGACAGACGATGAGTGAACGCGAAGGATGAGAGGCACATTATTCACTTAGTCCCAATAGACCGCAAGTCGACCAAATTTTCCAGAGAGCCTTCCATCATTTCCAGCCGGCATTCGTTCAATCTGCACAGACATCAGGTAAGGTACCGACAAGTTCGTTCGGTGTGCTTACACTTTCTTTAGCTCATTTACCGCTGCAAAGCCAAGAATAAACTCGGCTTCGCTGGGTTCCCTTGAGGCGTGCCTGACAAGCTGTATCGCCGAGTCGTAGTAGTGGAGAGGCGTTAAATCATCTTCGTCTCGGGGAAGAAGCGGGAGAATGAAACGAAAGTGGTGCAGCATGCGGGAATGCGGTCGTAATGTGGGGTGCCGAGGAATGACCTCGTGGGCAAGCTCGTCTGAAGGGACATTAGTCGTTGATAGGCACAGAGATAAGACAGGACCCACCGATTTCGCGGATGGTATGAAGGAGGGTGGTTCGGAAGCACACTTCACCAACTTGGCTTCCTACGGGAGTGTCGGACCAAGCCAGAAATCAATCAACGTGGAGTTTACCTGGCTTCCCCCACCCTTCCTGAGAGCCACCCTTCGGCTGCGATTCGTAAGCTACGAGACAGGCTCGGGCATACTCTTGGTTGATATAGCGGTAGACCGGCTGCAATGGTTCTCCTCAGTATCTAAACTAGGTACATGGTGTGATGCGCCTTCACCTTCGGAACATCGGCCTTGCCCAGGGTGTGATAGACCTTTGAGATACGCTGCAACTTCCGATGCACAATAATCCGCCGGTTCAAGCAGAAAGCAAGAGAAACCGCAAACTTCTCGGTCAGTCAGCACCCGTATGTCAAGAACATAGCCGGTAGGTGGGGCAACGACGAACCACTATGGCATAAGCGGCACCGATAACCACAGCATTGAAGTTCCGTGTCCAGTTCTTGTTGGGAGCGGTTCGGACGGCTTGAGAGAGAAGAGCAGCGCACGAGAGGCCGATAAAGAAGGTGAGAGTCAGAACAATAACAATATATGTTATGCCAGAAAGCGTCGACCGGCCCCACGACGAGCGCGACATTCACGTCGCAGCATGAGATAATGGTGGCGAGCAACCCTGGAATGGTAGCCGAGCCCTCGGACTCTGCCGAAAGCGGTGTCTTTGTGGCGTTACTCACAAGCGCCAAAGGCGCCTTACCTATCACTCTGGCAGGCACTAGAACGGCCAGTGGCTTGATGACAACGTCTCATACAGCACTTGCATTGTTACAAAGAGTTTTCAAAGAATTCGAAGTAAAGTGCGGATACCAGCCGCGGGGAATCCCAAGTTCAACAGAGCTCAACCGGGCAAGCTTTTGCAAGCGCCTGTGTTCTAAACCTGTACGTTTTGCCTGATCAGAGGAGTAAGCTAAGCGTTCTTTGTACGCGTTAGACACGAATACGCACGCAAACTCTCCAATCACATTACCCTGAACGGAATACTCGCAGACGAAGTAGCTTGCGAGCTGGAGCGACAAGTCACGTTCAGTGTCGTCAGCTGCCAACGTCGAAGAAACGTACCCCGAAGCTCGCGGCAAAGATGCCGCTGCACTGTTGCTCAGCACATCCAACCTGAGTAGTGGCCTTCCAAACAACCTGGGTGAAGTGCGATGGTACAGGGTTGTTCGGATCGTATTGGGCTAGAGGTGTCGTGGATTGAGTATAGGCGAAGCTGGCGCTAGGGTCGAAAATACGCACAAACTTCGCTTGTCCAAGACCCAACAGCAGTAGCAATATCGTAAGAGCTGCCAGTTCCAGCAGCGAGGTTCTCTGCAAGCACGTTTTGTAACACTATCCCCACAGTGAGATCAGAAACCATACCTCCGAAAGGTCCCAGGGTTCCGCCGGAATGCTGGAATACGCAGCCGTTTGCCCACTGTTGAGCCTTGCTGGCGAGTTCATTGCTCCAAGTCAAAGGTACAGCGCCATGCTGTGCGCGGACCGTGTTATGAGCGTTCAAGTACTGCTCGATATCACTGCTGGAGGCGTCGGAACCAGAAGCAGAGGCAGAGGCAGATTCAGTGGTTTGCGGGGCCTGAGCAGTTGTAGTCTGAGCAGGAGGAGGAGCCTGAGTAGCTGTAGTCTGAGCAGGAGGAGGAGCCTGAGAAGTGGTGGAAGGCTTTGCCGTGTCCTCGCTGACTTGAACGGGGGAAGGAGCCGGTTCTGGAGAAGGCTGTGGGGAAGGCTCAGGCGACGGCTGCTTCGGGGTCGGGCTAGGCGGCGGCACAGAGGCCGCCGATGTGAAGCTTGTAATAAACCGACTGGTAGAGGCCGGGGAAAGAATTTGCGATGTCAGCGCAGTCGTCTGGACGACTGAAGACGACAGAGACAAGGAGGTGCTTTGAACTGCGGAGGCGACGTTTGAGAAAACGGTAGAAGAGGAGACGGACACAAAACTAGGCAATGCACCGCCAACATTGGCAACGCCGGCAGATGTAGGTATGACCGCAGCAGATGATGGCGACGAGCTGCTTGATGGGCTACGGTACAATGCGAGTGTTAGCAACAATCTGTATAGCATTACAATTATCTGAGATACTCACGTAGGACGAACGCGGCAAGCTTTCGTGAGGACAGAGCCCATGTCGGTCATGGTCACTGTCATAACCTGTCCCCATGGGTCAGTACCCATAACTCTTCCAGGGTATCCCCATCTCTTCTTGCAGGTGGAAGGGCATGTACTATTGCCCTGATTGCGGCGAGCGCACGATGGTCCCGCCAATCCTTCAGTGGCCAATGCAAGGAGAAGCGCGAAGAGCAAGAGGGGAGCAACCGGCACAAAGCGAGGCATTGCAGAACGAGAGTTAATATGTAAGAGGAGATACCAGTAAAAGAGAGAAGCTGTGAACGAAGGACTATTCGCAAGCAATGAAAGGAAACAGGACACTGTCCTAGTGCCGAAGCGTGAAAGCCAATGCAGGGGAAAATCAACGAGAAGAAAAGCGAGAGAGCTCAGAACCGCTTCCACGTATAAATAGGTCCGGTGGGATTTTTCTGTCCGTCGGCAGGTGTAACCTGCGCGGGACAATCGAGGGCATCGAGTACTCTCGTCGCCACGGCAATAGTGATGGTTTGCATACTCACCGCTCAGGAACATTGACATGATCGAGGGTTACCAGAAATTCTGTAGTTCTAGGCCAACCGGAAAACGAACTAAGGGCTGTGAGCTGCAGACAATGATATACGACTGGGGCTTTGCTAGTAGCGGGAGGTCACGGTCAGATAGACAGCCGCCCCGGCACACGATCTAGACGCCCATCAACTTTCATGTCCTCGCCTCCATCATCCAACGCGGAGGAAAACCCGCCCTATTATATCTTGGTATCCCAGAGCCCTCTGCCGTCGGGTTCCACAGCATCAAGGCCTCCATACCAGTCTTTCACGCACCCTATTATTGAGTATCATTACGCAGATGACCTGCCGCACGCATTGCTCCCTCAGAACCCTCAGGAGCATGTTCTCGTCCTCGACTACGATCCCACCAGTACAATATCTCCGGTAGCCCAAATCTTGTCGACAGAGCTTGCAGTATTAAGCGTGAAGGCTACAGCAGCCCCCGCATCTGGTCCTGCTACCGACGATAGCCCGAATCCGAAGAAGAACGGCCAGATATATGTCATCGAGACGACGCAAATCCCTCTAGTCACGTAGGTCGGCACAGGTGTTCAGCATGTGTTGAGAGTTCATATGGCTCTCTAGCTCGGACGAGTATGATGTCGACTCAGGTCAGGCTGTAATATTTGATTTCAAGCAGAGGTGAGCATACCCCCGGAACCATCGGTTAGCTGCTCTCATCTGGCGTACCGCACGTAGGAATAAAATGCTAAGAGCAGCCCTGGAATATCCAGGGCCACCTAAAAGAGATATTGGTGACATACTGACGACGAACACCTCCCACGCCTCAAACGAGTTCCTTGGCTCAATTTTGGGATGACGTCCTGGAGAACCACGTCGGGATTATCTGGAGGCGTACCGCACCTCGTAACTCAGATTGCACCTTTCAGGTGTCGTATGTATCATGGATAACTCGGTTTGGAAGCAAAATAAATAGCGGCTTGACACATATACGGGGGCTGTAGCTCTACTACCGTTTCTTATTACGGCCACCCCTCTGTTTGAGGCCGGAACCAGAGGGCTTCGACTCTGTTTGCGACTTTCCAGTCGCTGCGGTCGCATCCTCATCGCCCATTTGCATAAGTGCCGAGAGGCTGACGGTGGCATCAGTAATGTACAATGGGACTAAACGTAAGCTTACCCAGACTTCAAATCGCCACTGTGAAGTGAGCTCTGGATGGTGCTCATCTTCGCTTGTCGCTTCTCTAAGGTTTGCAAAGCTTCGGGATCCAGGCTCTTCTGCAAGGCGCGGTTTGAAATAAAAATTCAAAGGTACACATCTTACGCACCATAATGTACGGCATGGCGAATACCAGGCCACCACCGACCAGCATCATCATCATCATGGGATTATTGAGCATCCCCAGCAAATTAAAGCCTTGCCTCTCCGCGTAATAGTTCAGTCGTTGTGCCGCAGAGAGCCGGATGGGATATGGGAGGGTAACTGTTGTGGACGACGATAGTGGAGTTCCAGGAACATATGGGTGTACCTCGGGCAGAGTGTCTGTCTCCAAAACGTCGACACGTAACTAAATAAAATAAGCCGTATACTTATGGCATAATGCGGGAATACCGTACCTTGTCGAAGACATGGTCGTGTGAAATTATAGAGAGAATGTAAATCCCTGGAGGGACTTCTGGTCTATATGGCGAATTGCGTCAGAGACTCCGAGTGTAGAGGTGATGCTTTCTAGACGTACATCGTGAATGTTCCATCCTGGGTGATGCTTCCATGTCTGTAGCCATTATCCAGAACTGCCTTCGCTTGTCCCAGTTCATCAGCTCCTGTTCATGTTTGAGCTTGTAAGTGGCCAGGCTGACAACCGAGAGACGACGTACCAGAGCAATGTTCGTTCCATTGCACACGTCCTTGGAGGTTCAAGCCGAAGGCTACGCAAGCAAGGCTACAAGAGGGAAGACGTGAGCACAACGAAGAGACCCAGCCTTTGAGCTCTACCTCAGGAGGGATAGAACTGGTAGTCTCATGGGTGCTGGGCGAAGTGTGCGGCCAAGTTGCCCTACGCGCTAGTACACGGGGAAGCGGCGCTTGCCTCAAATGCGCCTGTGACTCTCACGCTACCGCTCCCTTCTCTGTACCAGAATACGATGCGACAAAAACGAGCAAAAGCGTACAGGAAGCTTATGCAAGCATACTCGCTTGCCTTTGGCTTTAGACAGCCATACCAAGCGCTGGGTATTTTACTTTCATAGAGTTCTTTGGCATTGTCACTGATGACTCCCTTCGTGTAGTGGATTCGCTTATGTGCAAAGATGCGATGGACCATAAGCTAGATCTGGTTAAACAACTAGGAATTGTGCTTCAGGGCACTGTCAAGCCCAGTATGTGCAGTCATTATACTCGTTACCGGTGCACTGACGGCACAGCGAAAGCGGTTTTTAGTGATCACACAGTGTTGCATACATGAGCTCTATCTACAAGGAAAGGTGATACAACCCGCTGTCGATCTCGCGAAGACATTTGAGCGCAGAAAATGCAACCACATGGAACCTATCCCGGGCGACGACTGCATCGCAAATGTGGTCGGTCAGTCATCCAGACGCTCCGCCACTCTCTCAATTTCTTACTTCGCTTGTAGGCGATAAGAACAAGCACCGGTATATAATTGTCACGCAATCGCAGCATCTGCGGGCGAAGCTGCGGGAAATCCCTGCCGTTCCAGTCGTACACATAAACCGTTCCGTCATGATTTTGGAACCCATGAGTGAGGCTAGTGTACAGGCAAAGGAAAAGGTTAGTATCTGTGCTAGTGGCAATTGTGCACTAATCTCACAGTATCAAACAGGCCGAGCAGCAGCAGATGCTTCCGTCTGCCTTGGAGACCGCCAAGGTGGCCCAATCAAAACCAGCAGAAGAGCCTCCTCGCAAAAAGCGGAAGGGACCGAAAGGACCGAATCCCCTTAGCGTCAAGAAAAAGAAGGTTAAACGACCTCCTGCTCCTTTACCGAAAAGACCTGCCACCGAAGATACAGACAAGGTTGGCGGAAAGAGAAAACGAGTGGAGGCTGGTCAGTCAGAGCACGCGAATGCTAGCTCAGGTTCTGGACACGACAGAAAGCGTCGTCGGAACGGTGCATCGACGACTGTAGTTAGTGCCGTGAGGGACAAGGGTGCACCTGATGGCGAGGATTGATCCGGCGGCATCAGAGTACGCGTCTACCCACTATGGCATGTACGGAACACACATATCTGAGATACTTTCGAAGGCATTTGGGGGTGCCGAGCATGAGCTGTTTTTCGGTCATAGTGCACATCACCACGGGTGCCTTCTAGATAATTTCTCTGCAAGAGAAGCTTCGAGTCACTGCGGTCTGCATTCCGTGGATTGAGACTGCTGACGATCGCTGGCGACTGTAGCGGGCACGCGAGGTGAAGGCGCGGAGGGCATGCATGGGTTCGGATTTGAACAGGCACCTTGATTGTAGCGTTATTCAGCGATGATTCAGGTGAATCTCATCCCCGGCAAGCTTCGTCTTAGTTCACGGTGGCCAGCGGACAGTTTGTCCTCGATGAGGTCCTGTGAATACGTCACATCTGGCAAACAACCGTAGACTTGGATAATATGGTGGTACCGTATCATGAAGGTGTCTGTTACGGTCAAATTCACTGCGAATCCAAGTCAGAGTCTCTTTGCGTGTCTGTAGATCTGGGATTGCTGCATCGAGGGATGTTGGAGGACACGTCGCTTGAGATGTGGCGTGGACTCACTGCGACATGCACGAACTGCCTGTCTGTAGAGATTTACGACTCTTTGCTTAAGAATAAAATGCTTAAGAGTGAGCTCTTGCACCATGGTTTTTTCAACGAAGTGAACGAGATGGGAGTCCGTCGTGAAGGCGATCAAGCTCAAGCCGTCTCTTTCCCAAAAGCCCCGCGCGTCTGTTCTTGCCACCACCACTTGACTTGGGTCTGACCGAGCATACATCTTGCGCATCTACCAGCCCTGCCCTCACTCTTCACCTCGACATTAGAATGGCGGCAACAGAAGTAAATGTTCTCAATGACTCCAATACTACCGTACCTGCAGCTCCATCTGACCCTGTCGGCGTTCTCGCCGACTCGCTTGCAAAGGCTAATGTCCAGCCTGAAGACAAGTTGCACGAAAAACCGGGTCAGCCACCTCGCGAACTTCATATTTATGCCTACTCCCAACTTCTACGGATATCGAGGTCCCCCCTGGTGAAACCACCAGAGGGGATGCCAGCGTTGAAAGAGTGGTTTGGGTGCGCGCTCATCTGTCTGAGACACAAGACTCGTATTGACCCAGACCAAAGTGATTGGAGCGAGCAGCAAATAGCGAGCAAGAAAGAGGGCGATCCATCGAGCAATGGAACAAGTGCAAGAGATCGACGGTGTGTACTGCATATTTCTTCTTGTATGCTATCGGCTAAGTGGTGCGTTAGATTTCGCCGCGACCCAGAAGAAGGAGGTACGCCGCTTCAAGTCACCATCCAGTTGTTTTGACTAATATCTCGTTCACAGATGCACCTACACGACCGTCCTTCCGATCCAGTTTGTCTCAGCCCTCGCAAATGGGCAACTTTAGGCATCAATCCCTCCGCACCGCTGATCGTGAAAGAGAGCGTGACCCAGAGCGAGAACGGCAGCGCGACGAACGGGATAGGGAAGGCCAGGAGAGGCTTCGTAACGTAAGAATGTATAGTCTGCTTCTTTTTCAGCTGTCTTTCTTACCTGCTTGTTAGCTTTCGGATAAGTACGATCGGGAACGTTTAGCTCTATCGTCTGCCACAAGTACATTGCGGGGAAAGGAACGTGAATCTGCGCCACATTTGGCCGGTGCTGCCCGAAATGGCCAAGGTCAGGCCACCTCTGTCCGACGAGCAGAGGGGAGGGAGACCGCCAAGAAGAAGGCCGGCGAAGCCAGCGACGATTGGCGCAGAGGTATGTCCGAGCTTTCGAGCTCTGCGGTTGCTCCTAATAGCTTGACAGGTGCCGAACCTCCTTCCAGGGGAGGGCGCGATGACCGTATGCTCCTCGTTTCGCTTGCGAGCGAGAGGCTCGTGCTTACTATCTTTATACAGGCTCTGATACCAACCGTCGTGACCGCGACAGAAAAGACACTTCACGAACGCGGAGAGATCCCTCCGGCACTCGCAGAGATCGAGACAACAAAGAAAGAGATAGATCTCGTCGTGGGGATGAGCGTGACGATCGCCGCGACCGAGATGACTACTTTCGTCGGGACTGGGATGACCGAGACGATGGATATAGAGATCGAGATCGATATGACTACAATCGCCGGGACGTGGACCGTGACCGCGATCTCGATGAGGACCCGAGGCGTTGGAGGGACGACGGGAAGCGTGATGAAAGAGTGGCTGTGCGTCGGGAGAGAGAGCGCGAACGGGACCGAGGGTGGGATCGTTGGGAACCATCACACGACCGGGAACGTCTGGACGATCGTGACGGCCGCGCCAAGCGATCCGGGCGCGACAGGCGTAGTGGCGCGGGTCTGGATGATGCAAAGGACAAAGAGGAGAAGAAAGAGCGGGAGAAGGAGAAGGAGCCAGCGTGGATGGAAACCTACATTCCGACGACACCCGGGGGTGGAATTTTGGGAGGCCAATCGACAGACGGCGAGCTTGATGGTATCCAGGCGTGGAAAAGGGGTCTGAAGGAGAAGGAGAGGAAAGAGAAGGAGGCCGAGCTGGCTGACGAGTCTACGAGCAATCCAGCAGCGCCGGTTTCCGACGCACCACCCACTGAGATTGCTACTGGTGCCACCGCGGAAGGATCGCTTGACGAGATCCAGATTTTCAAAATGCTCATGAAGAAGGAGGCCGCTAAGAAAGACACTGAGCAAAGTCAGGAAAGCCCCGTGTCTCCGTCTAGCGCAATATCCACCACTGTCGGACGCACGTCCCCCGCCAAGCTGAAAGATCCCGCGCTTGCTGGTATGTTAGCTGCCCTGTATCATGAGCTTGTGCTGAAGGAATTTGAGCAGCTATCTCTACATCTACCGGCTCTCCTGCTCTCATGACGGAGTCGAATTCTATGGCTATGGCTTCTTCCGGTACATCACCCACTGTTGCACGCGATGGTGTAAAGCTCCTCTCTTTACTCTCCCAAGCTCCCGGAGATGGTCCTACAGCGCCGACATCGAAGTTCTCGACTCCAAATATATCCACACCTGATACCTTTCCATCGGCTGTTTCACGCATGTTCCCTACCCCCCCTGGTCTCTCACCTTCGGTGTCCCAAAACTCTGAACGTCCCACTATTGACCTTTCTATTCCCTCGTACCCGACTACACCTTTCGAACCACCTTCTGCCTCACGTCTGTTAGCTTTCGGATCACGAGCTGTCCCTGGCGTTCCTCAGCTCCCGCCGTCGAAGACTCTACCAGCTGATCCTAACAGTCTACCCTTCGGTAGCAACCATCCATCCGCTATGGGCAACCCTGGTCAAAGACCGCTTGGAGTCAATGCATTGGGCAGCATGTCCGGCAGTGCAGGGGTGCAGCAAGGTTCTGACCTCATGTTCAATATGGATTCGGAATCGCACATGATTCCAAACCGTAGAGCAACTCCTTCTGAGCGGTCTACAAGGAGTTTTTCACCATTCGGACAAAGTCACCAACAAGCTTTCGGCGTCCACGATGGTCAAGACACCATGCGACTTCCGCAGACGGAGGCTATGCGTCGGATGGCTCCTGAGAGGGGAGTGGGGATAGGCCCAGATACATTGGCTGGTTTCCCAGAGCTTAGTGGCGGCCCCGCGAGTTTCAATCCAGGGATGTTTGAGCTTAGTGGAAGTACTCCCGGTGCTGCCTCGTCTGCCGCAAAGGGTAGCCGATTTGCCAAGTTTTTTGACCAGAAGAACAGAGAGGCACAGGCTCATGCGCAAGCACAGGCTATGCGCAAGGCTTCTGGTGGAAACGGTTTCATATCAACATCTCCACTTCCAGGTCAAGGACGGGACGCGATGAACGGAATGACCAACAGTACCGGTGAAAATCGAACCATGGAGGACATATTCGCCATGCTTCAGAGCTCATCTCAGGTACGAACAGCATTCCTACCGTCGTGACAGTTGTTAAATGTGTTCACTCAGAATCATCGTGCCTCGCCGCAGCTGCAACAGTCGGGCCGTGTATCGGCTGCTGGCGCGCCTCATGGACAAGCTCCAATCGACCTACAGGTTCTTCAGCAGCATCATTTGCAGCAGCTCCACCAGCAACAGCTCATGCAGCAGAGTCGGCTCGACTCTCTTTACGACAGCCGTATGGACGATCGAAGCTTCGTGCCAGACGGTATGGTCCCGGGCCTTCGGCCCGCACCGCGCCCTCGCAGCAGGGAGCCTGTAGGCTTGCACGTCAGCGACCATCTTGATGAGCCATTGCAGGTAAACCCGCGGCTTGCTCAACAGCAACGAGCTCTGGAACAGCTGTATAATGGACCGACACCCTCTGCTTACGGCCAACAAGCTAACATTGGCCGAAATCTGGGCGGTATCCAGCAGAACCAGTTCCGAGGTGGGCCTGGCATGCTACCCGTGCAGAACCTTCCTCAAGCCCCCTCGCACCGTCTCCCTCCGGGTCTCGCCAATCTCGGCGGCCGTCCACCACACGATGCCTCCCAGTTCCTCAACAACCAGCTCAACAACCTTCCGCCTCATGGTAGTATCCACACGCAGCAGCAGCAGTCGCTGAACAACTTCGGCGGTGCGGGATTCAATGGGCCTATACAGCGTAGCCCTATCAGTGCACCACACCACAACAGCCCAGTAGCCTTGAACCAGCTCGGTGGTATGGGTCCCGGCAATGGTATCGACCTGCGTATCCACAACCAGGCGCAGCTGCTGGGCCTCGGTAACACTGGAGGCATGGGTGGTGGTCCTCGCAGCGCTGGGGTCGGGTTCAATGGCCAACACTCATCCGTGGCGCAGCTGCAAGCGCAGCAGCTTGCTCTGCGTCAGCAACAGCAACAGCAACAGCAGCAACAACTCCAGCAGCTCGGCATGCCTCCGGCACACCTGCTTCCTCCTCACATTCAGCAGCAACATCAGCAGAACATGCATGCCAACTCGCAAGGTGCACAAGACTTAATGGCGCTCTTGATGGGCGGGCAGCGCGAGTGAACGACAGCTCCGTGCTATAGGCATTTGTAGGACTTTGAAGACTTTCTCCTCTCATTCTCTTTGCTTGTAGGCGTTGTACAATCATAATCGTTTTCCACGGCAGTCGCATTCTTCCTCTTATCGCCCAGAAACCTATGCGCGCAGAATAATGTCGTACAGTATAAGGCAGCATGAATATACTCCACAATCGTTGGATGTGTGGGTTGATCAGTGCGAGCTGTCTCGCATCCGTCGGCTCCGGTCACGGACTCGGTGTCCACTTTCGAGTATCCAAAAACTTATTCCCAAGGTCTCGTCATCTTCAAACACGTTCGTACCGCGGGGCCCGTCTCTTCATTTGCGATGAGTCACGGCCGTGAGTGCATAGCTTCGTAGCCCGAATTAATAGTTTTGTACCGTTGCAGATAAATTTTCTCGCACATCTGCTCATAAGGAGAGGCGGACAGTGCCCATCACTTCCTCACTTCCTCTGCTCACGCAGGTGGATGACGACAGAGCCCGTCTTGGTACTTCCTCTCCCTTGCTCGCATCACAGCTCTCACGGTATCTCAAAGGAGCTCCGCGGTGCGGTCGCCAGAAATTATATTCCTGACAGTGTTCCCCGTTAGATCCACTCTTTCTCAGGTGCGCCCGGTTCTCGATTGTCGTTCTTTTCCTCAATCTCTATCGCCGCTAGGATCTGCGCTATACCGGCGCTTGTGTCCATCCCACACAAAGCAGGAGTAACAGCTTAGGACTTGGTCCGTTATTTCAGTGTAATAGAGCTTGCTCCATCTCACAGCATATGCTCTCTTCGCACGCCGTCGCGGGTAGGCATGCTCAGACCGCCGTCTCATGCCACGATGCGACCCAGTGTTGTGCGGGCGTCTATTTTGCGTTAGAAGAAACCTTCGGTAGCCATCTGCTGCATGGTTACGAGAACCGTTCGATCTGGGCGCACTGCAAGTAAGTCTCACTATTGTATTAGCCTAGTTCTGGACGTGAATTTGATAGAATGAGCGTTTCTGTTGGCTCGAAGACGCGCCACATCGTACTCAAATGCCGGATAATCGTATCCGAGCGATTCCGTGCTAATTGCCTGTCTCTCTCCGTAGGCAGATGCCCCACCTGTAGCGAACTGAACACTTATATACGGCAAGGGGAGCAGATGTTCTCCTAGCGGCTCGCTCATTGGCACGATGATACCAGGTGACATTGCCGTCACTGCGAGACGCACCGATGGGTAGACTTTGGGCTCTGAGGTGGGCGAGTCCCCCGCGCGTCAGCTTCGAGCCACCATTCAAAAATTCCGATGCGCATTGTCGGCACCATCTCAGCGGCGGGTGAAGTGTGGCACCGGGTAGCCTGAGTCTCGCGTTATCCTCGTGGGATTATGGCAGTGCTGGGACTGGAGAGGTCCCTCCAGTTCCTGTGTCTTGACGTGCAAGTTATGCACACGACTGCAAACAGTAATGGTGAACATCCAGATAATCAGTTGTGGCTTATCGGCTGCGCAAGTGTAGTTAATTGGAATCAAACGATATAAACGTACATGATGATGAACACATGTGAGCGAGCGTAAGAAATCTCACACGACGAGCGGATTCCCCGCCTGCCTTGCCTGCAGGCAGGAACGTGTCGGCTTCGCGGACAGATGCGAAAGCTTGAGTTCGGCCAATCATGGAAACCCAAAATACGCCTTGTGTATTGGAGACAAGAACGGGGGAATTAAGTGGCACGCGCACTGCGTGCGCCTCAGATTGAGCTCGGCTTGTGGTGGAATGCTCTTCTTTGCCTTCAAAGCTAGCATCGTCAAAAACGCTCACTGCCTACATTCTCTTGCTACCATCCTAAACGTGCTGTACAAGCCTTTGCGGTCTTCACGCCGCCAACGCTGTGCATCTGCTGGATCCGTCCCCCCCAGCAGCCTCCGATAGAAGCTGCCCGACTCAAAAGTCGAGTCGACCTCTTCTCTCAGCCGTGTCTCTCCTATCCTATTAACTCTGGAACCAGACACTCTCGTCTGGCTAGTCATTCTTTTACCGTCGCTCTCCCTGTTGCGCCAGCTGTCTATCCTCACCGCCCTCGCTCGCTATCGATACTTGCCAGCAGATTAATCCTCGAATCTAATCGGTCCATTCATTTTTACTTTGCAATAACGTTATCCGTTTTGCTGTCACCTCTGCAAGTCGAGGAAGAAAATATCCACTCGCTCCAATTATCGTGAGTCTGCTCCGTCACTGGGCTCGCGTGAGTGCAGCTGACGACGTGGTGCATGTGCAGAATTGATTATTCCCTGGTGAGTGATATCAAGCCCCTATGCGACGATAGTACCTGAAGTTGGAGCCCTGATGAGATTCAGGACTCTTGTGCTCGTTGCGAACCACCAGGCAGGCGATTTCGATTATCCCTCGACTATGTACGTCACTTTCCGGGCTGGCGGCGTCGGGGAACGTGGGCCGTGCGAACTGCCTTATACGGGAGGTGCCGGAGTCCCCTTGCATTCCTTGAGATTTCGGCGGACCGGCGATCAGCCGAGGCCGTGCGGAGAGTTGCCGCGGGGCATGGGCATCTATTATATTGATTGGCTGGCTGGGTTCAGATTGGCTTCGACTCGGGGGTCTGCTTTCCCCCAGCCTTCAGCCTCTCTTCTTCGTTCTGTCATGACGATCCGCACGACCTGAGACGACAAGGTGAGGAAGTGCGACGAGTGCAATGTTGTCCGAGGTCGTTTGCGCACTGAGGTGCCATCGATGCGCCCTTCACATTTATGTGAATTCACATTCTGCTTTTGTACTCTCTTTTCCGCTCCCAGCCCGCCAGCCGGTCGCTCGGCTCCCTTAAATCTCTTTTCGAGCTCCTTTTCCTCTCTCCAGCTTGCCAATCTCTGCAGCTCATCGTCGTCCGTGACGGCCCTCACCATCTCTTTTTCACGTCGTGTCTGTTCATGACTAGTGCACGCTAACCCCGCCTTATCTTCGTCCTTCAGCTTCACCCACCAAGCTGAAGCACGCCCGACCACCGACGACCTCAATCCTTCAAATAACGACCCCTCTACCCTTTCCTCGTTATATGCTCCAAAGCCTGTCATCTGTAAGTGTCCATCTTTGTCCATACTCTCTGGCCCATTGTCGTAGCTGTCGCTTTTTGGATGTATTCCCCTATCCTTGCCGGCACCGCCGAAGTAATGATCGGCTGCGAAGCAGCCATAGCCATTCGAAGCGAGCAACAAGCAGTGGGACTTCGGGGGCGCTCTTCATGTCGCCCTTAGTGTCAGTCGTCGTTCTCTTTTCTACCTCGACGTGCTCTCGCCCAGCTCACAGTCTGGCTCGTGTGCATACGCTTAACACTGTCTTATCCTTCAGTGTCCTAAGGGGAAGCGGTCGCAGCCATGTCTACTTCTATGCACCCTGAACACTCGTTGACTGACACGCTCTCTCCAAGTTCCAGCTCGCAGTCGAATCCTTACAGCTCACACCTTGTTCCTCCCCTCCCCTCCGACATGAAGGACATCTCCAACTCCGTGAGGACTGCACGTCAAACGGTCTATCCCAAGAAGAAACCGTCGCCCTATGGCGTATCGAAATCACGGAGACATCAACAATCGCCTCTCTGTCCTCCGCAAGCCGTGGTTCGAAAGTCCCCTCGCGGGGCCAAGACCGAACACGCAGTTCAGCGGCAACGCGAAGCACAGATTCTGGCTCTACGACGGGAAGGGATCCATCTAGAAGAGGAGTATCGTGACGAGATACAAGAGTATATGCAAGTCATGGAGGTGAGTCGTCTTGCGCCACGCCTATCTACCGGGGCGCTCACGCATCCCCATCACCATAAGCGTCACACCATAGCCTCTGTCGCGTCGATGGACCAGCAGCCTGAGATAAGGTGGCATATGCGTCCGTGCTTGGTCGACTTCCTCGTTGAAATCCACTTCACTTTTCCGCCTACGACCTGAGACGTTGTACCTCACGCTGAACGTCATTGACCGCTACGTCTCGCGGCGGATAGTGTACGTCAAGCACTATCAGCTAGTGGGCTGCGCTGCGCTCTGGATCGCGGCGAAATTCGAGGATGCCAAGGAGCGTGTTCCTACCGTCCAGGACCTCGCACAGATTTGCCGGGACACCTACGACGAGTCAGCGTTCATCCAGATGGAAGGCCATGTTCTATCTACCATCCAATGGGCTCTCGGACACCCAACAGCGGAGGCTTGGCTTCGTCTGCTATGTTGTGGCCCCTGCGTAGAGGACGTCAAGGTTCAACATGTCGCTCGTTTCCTCATGGAAATCACTCTGTTCTACCGCGAATTTGTTGAGTTCGTGCCCTCGGCCATCGCGCTCGGTGCGCTTATCCTCGCCCGCCACATATGCGGCAAGTCCCAGAGAACTTACGATGACACAGACGATGCTTTGACAATAGTCGACCTCTTGGATAGGCGCCTCGCTGAACACGTCAACGACTTGTCAGAAACGCTGGTTAAGAAGTATTCTTACGCATTTTACTCCAAAGCAGCGACGTTGGTGGTTCAGTATTACTTGGAAGGCGGTCGCTTCCAGCGCCAGCCTCTCGCTCCTTTACCGATGACTCCCGTCAAGGCGCATTCTCCCAAGATCTGCACACCGGCAAGCGTATCTACTGTCGCATCAGACCTCTCAGACGATATGCCCGCGACGCCAACGAGTCCAGCAATTCCTAGCGATCCGTTCTCTGGCTACATATCCGACGACAAGGAGAATTTCTCGTCGTCACCGACGTTCTCTCCGAGGGTCAGTAAACATGCCGTGGAGCAGGTGCCAGAACAGTTCCTACCTCACGAGTTTGTCACCATGGCCCGTCCGGCTCTCCACAGCCTCAACGCCTCATCACCTCGCGTAGCCGCAGTGGCATAACCCACCACTCGACGTACTCTTCCTCTTCCCCTTCCCCCGATTCGTCTCCCCACCCTGGGTTGTAAGATGTCTCCCGTCGCACACCTCATATCGCATTGAAAATGTATCAACATACCATACAAGTCGATCCATCGGCATATCACCACATTTCTCTCTCTGCAATCTCTCTGCAACATCAATCATCCATGCATCCTGTCTCTGCGCATCGTCTCTCGCTTTCCATCGCCTATATCCATCGTCGAGAACACAAGATCGGTCGCACAGGGAACGACGTGGGTGGGACGAGTGTACGGCCGTGCCCCAGTGTATCAGCAGTGGTGTATCATCATCTGGACAGCTTCGTTCACTGGTTAGCGTTCGTCCGTGTCGTTTAGGCCGCTTGTGTTTCTGCCACATCGAACTGTCTCGCTCACCACACTCTTTCGGTTGTCGCCCTGCCCTATGCACCCTGTCCTCCGTGTCGCCTTACGCGATGAACTCGTCGTCCTTCACCCCGTTATTCAACCCCCCCTTCTTTTATATCTTATTCTTCACGTTTATTGTACTCCTTACACCTTACCGCTTTCTCCCTTTCCCTTACACCCCGCATTCACCCGCACTTTATTTACTGCACATTGTCCTCGCCTTCTGTTCCTAGTTCTCGTCATCGTCAATGTTGCAGCATCGCTCGAATCATCGCACCTTTCATTGCACCCGGTCAGCCTGACTGGACCTGACATCGGAGCTTCTTAGTACATTACATCACCACTGGATTGCAATATCACTCCATATTAAAATCAGATTCGCAGACGCGCCACCGCCGCTACTGGGAGGGTCGGCGCCGTGTGATAGCGGAGTTGTCGACAGCTGTTGGCTGTCCCCATCGCATCTATCGTTGACTAGCTCGCTGCGGCCGACCGTAACGTTCTTCGGAACCTTTTTCCTTGTTTCGTGGGACCTCCACGGTCGCTTTAACGGTCCCGCCTTCTTGGGCGCGTCCAGGAACAGGTGGTTCAGTTCCATCCCCTGTAGTGTATACGAGGTCGTGAGAGGACAATCGTCCAAATGGGTGAATACTCCACGGAAGTTGCTGCAAATCAAGGGTTGCACGGTGCGCCGGACGCTTTTCGTCAGATAGGCACCGCCATCCGCCATTCTAACGGACGCGGACACGTCCCAAGACCGTCTCGTGGTGTCCATACATCCGTGCCACCATCACTAGCGCGGACTACTCGGACGGGCGTACGCGTCGCCCAAGCATAGATGGCGGCTCGCAGAGGACGCTCATCGATAAGGGCTGGCAGGAGATACTCACAGCCTTGCATTTTGTCATACACTCAAGCGCACATCCGGGGCTAAACGATGACCTTGTGTGCGTCCCGCAATCTCGTCATCTCGCCGCGCCCACTCACTCGAGTACCCACTCGTCGCCCTGCTGCTTGATAAATACCGCACGCTTCTCGTCGAGACTGACGCGCCCTGCGTGCAGAATCGCAGTCGTGAGGATCGTGTTCGAGATCGTCGGCAGGCCGTGTGCATCGAAGTCCGTGGGCTTGTTCGTGCCTGCGTTCACACCGCGGGCGGCATCGACGAACTTCTCGATGGAGACATAGCCGTAGCCGCGCTGCCCGTCGAAATGACCGCTTTCAGAGGGCGAGTACTTCATGCTGCACCGTATATCAAGACAACGGAACAGTTAAGCGTTGAGTAGACTTACTAGAATGGGTTAAAGTACGCCTTGCCACTCTCGTCGTAGACAACGTCGTAGCCACGGTGAGCCTGATCAACGTTGATCTCTCCCTTCATGGACCACATTGTCAGCCGGTCGTTGGCACTGATATCTATGCCTGTGCTCACCTTCTCCGCCATGTAGTACCAGTGCTGGGCCGAGTGCACACCGGACTTGAGCGGGGCAGTCCACGACGCGGTGTATACCGCGGTGCTTCGGTGCTTCTCACTCTTCAGCGACTGCCAGTCAACGAGGAGAGTGATCGTGTCCTCGGTCTGAGGGACGCAGTTGTACGGCTCGCTCGTCGCGATGCCTGTCGCTGCGCTAGCGACAACGCGAGTGGGCACGGCCTTGCCCTGCATGATCCAACAGTGGATGTCTATGTGGTGCGACGAGAGGTAAAAGCTGAGAATGCGAATCGTAAGTTACGTTCACTTCGTGCGGACAGGATTAATCGCGTACCTGATGTCAGAGTCCTTACCCGCCCATGCGCGGAAGGTCTCCAGCTGGCTCTTCGGCTGGCTCATCCAAGCACTGAAGAAGTTGCACTCGCCAAGCGCCACTGCTTTCGCCTTGGCGTCGCTGTACACAGGGTCGAATCGCTTGTGATGTTCAACGAAGCAGACAACGTTGTTCTTCTTCGCCAGCTCAATGAGCTCATGGTGGTGCTTGAGCAGCTGGACGGCGGGTTTCGTCACAAGCACGTGCATGCCGCGTTCAATGGCATACTTTGCAATGTCGTAGTGAGTATCTGGATCATTATTAGTCTAGGGCATTCTATAAGCGGCCGCTTGAGCTCACTGTCCGGAGTGAAGATGATCACCGCATCTCCTGGCGCAAGCTTGTCAATCGCAAGCTTGTCTAAGCAGAAATTAGCACGGTCTCACAGACAATACGAGTACAAAGAGCTCACAGGCCGCCGGGTCGACTGAGTCCTCTCCGGGGAAGGCATCAAAGCTACAGAGTTGAGGAGACGGCTCTGGCCAGGGGGCGATGGACTTACGAAATATCCATGTCCTTGTAAACCTGGGCAATGTTTGCCTGCAAATGCTCGCGGATAGCGGGGAACTTCTTGCCGTTCACGCCGACCATGCTGAGTTTGTTCACCTACAAACAGTGAGTGAAATGACCGAGCACTTGTCTATGGCAAGTGCTCACTTTGCCCAGTCTTCGCAAATCGAAGAGAGTAAGTCCGACAACCTGACAGCATGGTTCTCAGAATGTGACGATTCATCGCACATTAAATACACTTACGCCAATCTATAGTGGTTGATCAACACGGCGGCCAGAAATTTGAAGAAGGCGGACTCACTTTCTTGTCTGACTTGGAGGCACCAGAGGGGGTCCACCCTGTGGTATACTCTCCCTTGATGCATGCATGGTTTAGTTCTTGTCAAAACGCGAATTTTTTTGCTCTGCAACTCACGGTACCGCCTACATGATGATGTGAATGAGTGCAGAACACAAGGACGTGAGTTGGTAGAACATACACATCAAGCAGTTGAGTTTCTTTGCGTCGGACATACTGGACAAGTGCAAGTGGCGGTCTGAGGGCAGATGAAGTACATTTCGCCGAGAGCTGCGCTGGCTTTAAGTACCCTGCAGCTGGGCCGTCTGCTTCTGCAGTCCAGGGGGTACGTCGGTGAGTGATTGCCCGGGAAGCGCGGGCCGATCGTGTTCTCGGTCCGCCACTGGGACCCTAACCCGAGCGCACGGACTTTTCCGCACCACGTGGGAAACACGCGAAGGGAGTAGTTGCTCCAATTGCAGTCCGAAACCCAATTGCAATGGCTTGCGGACGAAAGGTGTCCTGGTGCAGACTTGCTGTATTCAAAGCACACTTCCATGGCTCAGCCGCCACCTCCACTTCTCAAACATCCTGTCGGTCCGTCGCCGACTCCCAACGTGGCCCAGGGCGCAAACGGCGCCGCCACTACCGCCGGCGCTCAATTTATGCCCCGACGGGAGTTCATTCGTGACCACAGGATCGCTTCCTCTTTCTCACTCCTCGCTCTCTCTGGCTCTGGGTTTGTCAGGCTCTACTCCTTCTCCGCCACCGTAATCACTGCTCTCCGACGGCTCTTTGACTACCGCAGCCTCATCTCCTCAGTCCGCGAGCATGCGCCAAAGCACTTCTTCGAGTTCTCGCTTGAGGGCAAGCCGTGGAGTAATGCCAAGAGCATCACCTCAGAGAAGCTCATCATAGATATCCTCACCATCATTCTTCATTGCGGATACATCTTTCTCTCTACCATCGACTATGGCCGTGAGCCAGACGACAAGCTTGCCATTGTGTTTTCCAGGCCCCAGGTGGCACCGCCTGGGCCGTTTCCCTTCTCCAACGGCTCAGCAGTCTCGCTGAATCCATCAGTGGTCAAGACCCCATTTGCTATATCCTTCTCTTCTACCACGCTGTTGCGTGTCGTCGGACCTCCCTTGCATTCTACGCCTGCTGTACTCCAGGCCGTGAGAGGCGCATGGCCTCGTGGAGTTATTTCAGAGAAAAAGGTTGGAGACGCGACGTACGAGTTTAAGCTCAAAGGGTACAAATGTGAGCATGGCTAATACAATTCTCTCCTGCATAGGCCGTTAATGTATGATACCACAGGGTTCCAGGAAGATACGTTTCCTATGGATTCTTTGCACTACATCCTAGGCCTGCTCAGTGCTCTTGACGCACACGGCTTCACTCTCCTCACTTCACTCTCCCTCAATGGTCGTTCCCGCATGAAGGACCTATGGGTCTTTACTAGCGACCACCACTCCGAATCTCCGTCACCAAGCCCCACCGCGTCCAACACCGACCTTCGGCGGGAGGTTACCCCCCAGCAACGCGGTAGTGTTACCGTCGCTTCTCCCCTTTCCTTGGGTGCTGAAAAACGCACAACCCCGCCGCGAAACGCTCCAGGTTCGGGAAGTAATGATGCCGGGTCCGGCCATAGACGATACTCCAGCGACCCTGCTACACCGTCCCCGCTGAAACTTGGAAGGGGACAGAATATGCTCCACAAACCTTCGCCCAAGACTCAGGTTCCTGTTGCTTTCGTACCAGAGTACGCCCGGTCGTCGATTCCCTATCCGACGGGTCTAGCCCCCAGCCTGCCTCCAGCAGGGCAGATCGTCCGCAGTTTCAGTAAACCGAGCAGTATCGGGAGTGTGGATATGACAGGTATCGGTTCCGGACGGAACAGGTCAATGGACTTATCGCGCTCTCCAGACATCTTCTATTCAGTCGACGGTCGTCAGCAGGAGCATAATCCGTTCTTCTCCCCGAGTGCAGAAGCCCCTAGTGCCTTTCCGAAGGATGAGAGTCGGCGAGTGTCTGTGGACAACAGAGGTTCCCGGCACTCGTCACTTCCTTCCAGTCTGTCCAGGCCCAGCACACTCCCTCCTCCCGCAATCCGCCAGCTGTCTTCTTCGTCTATTGGTCCGAAGATACAAGTACACGCCCCTTCACCGATGAAAGCTACGAACTCGGGGCATGCGCTCATAAATGGAGAACCTCCCTCTAGCTCCCGCCGAGATGAGAAAGATCCAGCCAAGAAACGGCCTGTGGATCCTGCACCCGTGGCGCCGACACCGACACCGACACCGCCTCTACTCACGCCGGGTACTTTCGAAGTGCGCGACTCTGCCTACTCTTCGGCGACTCGGTGGACGCGTGAATATCCCTGGGTCGGACGCGAACACGATCAGTACTTCTTGTCTGAGCACGGTCATGCGCGACGTGACGATCCTGACCCCAAGCACCTACTCCACCTTAGCGCCGGGAAGAATGACATGGTGCCCCGCAGTTCAGGTCCCATTCCACAACAGCAACAGCCCTCATCCAGCCATTGGGAACGCGGGAACAAGAGGGATGACGTAGCGCGGGAGGTCGTGCCACCGACCATAAGAGAGAACCTTGGCCTGGAGGGCAACGGCCACGTCCACGCACAGCACACACATAGCATGGACAAGATATCTCAACCCGACCGACGGAGAGCAGGCGAGGCGCGGGGGAAGAGCCCAGAGCTTGGGCAAGGACAGGACAAGGGGCACGGTGAGGGGGCGACAACGGGCACAGCGAACGGCCACGGACGGCATCACCACGAGAAGAGCCCATCGGAAAGGACACCGACTCCAGAGAAGGCTGTACATGCGCCCAAGTCGCAGGCGGCGCGGCGTGAAACCGCGATGTCGGGCTGGGTCATGGTCAACGTCGAGCCGCAGGACAAGAAGAAGGCCTCGAGCCACAGCCCCTCGCCCACGCGGCCGAGCGTGCGGCAACGGCGCAGCAACTCAGACTCACGCATCCTGCGCACCGACACGCGGAGCCCCGTGGGCCAGGCGCCTGCGCCCGCGACCATGTCGGCCGCGGCGAAGACGATTGCGATGATCGACGCCGTCGACGCCCGCGAGCGCGGAAACGAGAAGTCATCCGTTGGCGGGCTGAAGCGGATTTTCCATAGATCGAAGGGCTTAGATGGGAAGAAGAGTACACCTGAGGGGGGCGTTACGAAGAACAGGAGTTTAGATCAGGAGGAGAAGTCGAAGACGAGAGGGCCGACGCCGCAGGCGGTGAAGCTGAATGACAAGCGGATAGTTTTGGACTGATGGCTCTGTCGACTCGATGTGAATGAGCTCATAGACAGTACGTGCACCTCGGCCTCTTCTCGGAAACACAGCTGACGATGAACAACTCAGATTCCAAGAACTGCTGGATGAAGTCAATACACTGTACCATGTATCTGGGCAAACTTCAAGATGGATACCATAATTATGGGACTTTTCACTCAACTTTGGCTATGCAGGACATTGCTTCGCGCCGTATGTGTGTACTATATTGTTTTGTAGCGGATAATTCAGTACATGCTGTAGCTTTTTCCGTGATTGGTGTTATTGACATGTCGTCAGCACGCTGTGTGTGACTAGTGTACGCGTCTTTATGACACTACAGCTTACGCATAGGGCTTGTTACCTGAGTACTTGTGCGGACATGTACTAAGGCCAGGCGAGGGCGCGTATCGTCACGCCTGTCACGGTAAGAGGCGACGCGTCTCTCACGTGCAAGGGGTCACAGATATGTGACACAGCCGTGGTCCTTGGCCGGCCGCATGCGGAACGAGTAGTGAGAATTGTGCACAAGGCGGCCATCCATAGTCCGAGCAATCCACCGACGCTCATAAGAGATCCCGTCTGTCCGACACGAGTACACGCAGCTGGCAGCAGCTGGCGTTCCCGGACATGTCGGCTTGTTCCGCGCTTGGACGAAACTTGTCTACCACTGGCTGAGCCCGGACAACAGGCCACCGGAGATGCTGTATTTCATCTCTGCCTGCCTGTTGCAAGGCATATTGTGGGACTTTTGCGGAGCACCTGTTGTACAGTATAGCTCGGCGTGTCGCGAGTAGCCTAGATTGGCTGCTATTAGCCACTGAAGCCGCGGGGGCGGCCAATCATCTTGCAGTTTCATACCAATTTCTCGCCTGTCCTCTTCACATCTCTCCTTGGAGCTAAATCTTCCCTGCAATGGATTCCCTGAATGTGTCGTACGAGACGTATGTAAGATGTCCGCACAGCAAGCCAATCTTGTCAGCGAGAAAATGGTGCACCGAGGCCTTGCCGAGTGACTCCCCGTCCGGCGGGAGCTTGTAACTCGACCGTCCACGATCCCGCAACTCTGGCCATAGTGTATCCTTTTGTCCACGTTAACAAGGTAGCTTATGACGCAACCAAGCGCATCAAGAGAGGCTGTGAGCAGCTAGGACCGGAGCTGAGCCAACCTCAGAAGAGGGTCGCCTTTGAGCAAAAATGACCGCCTCACGCAGAGTCCGTATCCAACACATCCCCTCCAGCCTGCAACCGCCCGTCCCTTTCTTCCTCCGCCCCGTCACCACCTCTCTTCCTTCTTCATTCCCCCACCCTCCTCGCCATGCCCACCTGCAGGCGCAAGCGCGTCATACTCACTGAACCCCCACAGTCCCTTCTCGATGCCCTCAAAACCGACCCCACCAAAGAGGTTTATTACCTTGCTCAGACTGGTGAGATCTTTGAGACGTACGAGTACGCATCTCCGCCCATCCCGCCCTCGTTATCCTCGCAGGCCGCTGACCCCCACCCTCTCCAGAGCGTATGCGGCCCGGATGTCTTTCTACAGGCGGAAACAATTCCAGTGTGAGGTCACTGGCAAGTCCGGCTTGGACTACTTTCAGGCACTGGAGAGCGAGCAGCATGAAGCCCGTACGATGCACTCCAGGTTCCCAGAGCCGCTCAAGGCTGCCGTCCTGAAAGCCGTCCAGTGGCGTACGTGAACTCGTTCTGCCATCATACCTCCAGTCTGACCTTCATCGTCCACAGAGGTCGTGGGCCGCCTTGACCACCTGGTGGAGGCTGTGTACGAGCGGTTTAAGGACAGGTATTACCCCGATGAAAGTTGGTTGACTTGCTTCTACCCTTCCGGACTTTACCTGACCATGTGCACTAGGAGTGTTTATTGACATCCAGGGCGACAAGTACGGAACATTACCATGTACGTCGGTGTCCGTTACTAATCATCGACCGTCTAGGTACTTTGCCCGTGTAGTCCAAGTCTTCCCGCCGCGTCCCCAAGCTTCTACTTCCCGCACCAATGGCCAAGCATCTTCGTCCTCCTCCCCGCTCTCCGACGACGAGGCTATGTCTATACACAAGGTCGCTGAGGATATCAAGGTCCTCGTAAAGGATGCAAACGCACGCGACGACCCTACACGCTACTATTATAAGGTCCAGATCCTCGACGAAGACAAGAGTAACACGGCCAAGGCCAACGAGAAAAGCAAGGGCAAGGAGGCCACCAAGTCCAAGTACAGTGGTAGTCTTATGGATGTCCGCTGTACCGACATGAGGTGTGCTAATAATCCATGGCTCTCCCCTCCACCCTCTGAGCTTACCATCTCCCAGCCGTGACCGTCTCTCCTTCTCGAAGTCGATCCTCCGCCGCTTCATCAGGGAGTGCGTCGACCGTGACGCGGCTGTGGCGTCCCCGTGGACTGTCAAGCATGCCATAGCGACGCGGTATGGCGTAGGCACCGTCATGCCCGAGGCTATCCGCAAGAACGTAGAGGACTTAAAGAAGGGCGAGAGCGACAAACGACGAAAGGCGTGGGAGGAGAAGGAGGGCCCACCCACGAAGAAGCAGAAGAAGCAAGCTGCTGCTGAAGAGGAGAAAGGTTCGTCTATTCCTTGGATATCGCATGAGCAAGACTCATCTTTTGGGCAACGGTGGCGCAGCGCGCAAGGAGCGCGAGGCTCAAGAGAAGGCCGAGCAGAAGGCAAAGGAGGAGAGCGAACGACTTGCTGCTGAGAAGAAAAAGAAGAAGCCTATACGATATCCCACGGAAGACCTCGACGTTGTGATTGGGGACAAGGAGAAGAAGGCAGGGATGAAGCTCAAGAGACCTGCTGCAAGCCGCACCGGCATGCCATTTGGCACGGACCGTCTGGCTAATGAGAATTTCATCATGTCATGGAATTTCCTTAATGTTTACGGGTAAGTTCCTGTCTTGGTGTGCAGCGAGTTTCTCGATGTGCTAACCTCGAATGTTCAGCAATCCACTGCACATATCATCATTCACGATGGA